ACCAAAGATCTTATTTCCGATATTACTCATTGTCAGTAAAGAGTAAAAAATAAAAAATTTTGTAAAAAATTTGTTGGCGCAGATTATAATTCATCTGACAAGGAGAGGTTACGCTTTTCTCTTCACCGATTTGATCAAACTTGCAGCGATATTAGAAAAGTCTACTAAGTAAACACCTATAAAGCCGTTTCTGCCTAAAAGCCGAGTAATGCGCATTTAAAGATATACCAAAAATCTAGAAATAGTAATATTTCTAATATTTCAGAAAGTATGCATTTTTGAGAAAAATGTCTTAAACTAAAATGATAGAGTTTAATAAAATGTATTTACTGGTTTGACCTTGAGTGGTATCATCAACTTTGACTTGACTTTGACAATGTCATCCAAGGTCAAACCAATAATAACAAAATCAATAATAATAAATATTTCTTATTAATCACTCTAAGACATTTTTCTCAAAAATGCATACTTTCCGATTATTAGACTTTTTTTTATATTTTTAAATGCTCATTAGTCGGGTTCTGAGACCCATTAGCGGGAACGGCTTTACAAGTGTTTACTTGGCAAACTCCTCTAACAATTAATAATTGCTATAATTTTGATCAAAATCAGTAAAGAGCAGAGTGTAGCTTCTCCTTGTGAGTATGAATATCGCATTCATTATTTTTACGTATCTGTAATGTATAATAAAAAATAAATTGAAAAATTCACATTCATATTTGTACATTACATTGTATTTCATAAAACAAATAATTTAATGCAAAAGTATAAAATATAAATTTTTTAAACAAAAATGAAGCGTTGGTTACACTTACTGATGTTTTGACGAGAAAAAATATCCTCTGCGCGAACGTCTGCTAGACGCATACTAATGGTCTCAATAACAAGCTAAGCATCTGTATCAAGAGTAGAAACGGGAGGACGCGTCCTTCCGAAAATTCTAAAATCTAACATGAAAGATGATGATCGGATCATTTTGACTTCGGTGACCTTGAAAGGTTAAGTTTTTTTGCTGTCAGCGTGTGAAAATTTGATTTGAATTTGATTTTTTTTCGAATCAAAAGGATTTGATTCAATTTGATTCGGCGTAAAGATTTCAGATTCAATTTGATTCCTTTTTCAAACATATCACAGATTCGATTCGATTCGATTCAACCTTGCAAAAGGTTGATTCGCATACCTCTACTTTCATACTTACTTAGCTATTGCTTAATACTTTATTAGTTAAATAGTATCGTATACTGTCCTTTATCTTTATCCGCGAATATGAAGATATAAATTAATTTCCGATCATAATATGATAAAATAAAAGAATAGCTTTTATATGTTACGTAGGTTGTTGGAAAAGTTTCTGCAAACAATATGAAAAAAAACATATATTCGGTAAATGACTTTATTGTTTTTCGAAGTACTTGCCTATAAGATCGATACATTTTTGCATACGCTCGAACCAATTTTCGAAGCATTTTTTTCCATTCTAAGGCTGTAATCTCAGATGTCAGTGTACGAAATGTTTCAACAGCTGCTTCAGGCTGTTATTGGTTTGACTCAAATCGCTCACCACGCATCTTATTTTTAATGTTTGCGAACAAAAAGAAGTCATTAGGTGATAAATCAGGTGAATACGGACAATGAGTCATCAATTCGACATTATTACTGGATAAAAAATCAACGGTTTGACGTGCTGTGTAACAGCTGGCGTTGTCATGATGAAGGATGATGCGACGATTTCGGTTTGTTCTACGCAATTCATTTATGACTTCTGGCAAACAAATTATTGTATACCAATCAGTATTTACAGTCCTTCGATCCTCTAAAGCCACGGTTGTCACATGTTCGGTATAACCGAAGAAACAAGCAATCATTTGCTTGGCAACTGCGTGAACGAATAACTTTTGTTGGTTTCGGTTCATTTTAAAATATCCAAACAGTGGATTGTTGTTTACTTTCGGGCTGATACGAATAGATCCATGTTTCGTCCCCAACGATGTTGTAGACCAAATTTGACCGACCTCGGTTGAATTTCTTGAGCATTTCTTTGCTCCATTTAACACGAGCCTGTTTTTGAGCTTCGGTCAAGTTATGTGGGATCCAATGACTGCAAAATTTCCGTACGCTCAAATGATCATGCAAAATCATATGTATTGCTTTCATGTCAATGCCTAAGGATGCCTGAATCTCGCGGTATGTTATATGCCGGTCTCGCTCAATCATTTCACGCACAGCATCAACATTAGTGGCAACAACAGACATGGATGGACGACCTTCACGGAATTCATCACTAAGAAAGGTACGTCCACGCTGGAATTCGGCAAACCAATCAAAAACAGTCCTATTGGATAGTGCTTCATCCCCAAAAGCCAAATGAAGTCGAGCAATGCATTGAGTTAGATTACATTTGTAATTGTAAAAAATCATTGCTCGAAAATTTTCACGCGAAATTTCCATTTTCTTACAAAATAACTTCTTTTAAAATACCATGCAAACAAAACTAATTGGCTTGGGTACAAACTGTCAATTGAATTATAGGTTAAAAACGTCTAATTTTACGGATATGATAGTAGCAGAACATTGGCGCCACTGGAAGTACTAGATTGCAGAAACTTTTCTAGCAGCCTACGTACTATAAAATTATAGAAATTACAAAGGAATAAATTATCAAGAAACTTATAAGTGAAAAGTCGATTCACTACAATGCACATCGATAGCTGTTATTAAGGAGTTTGTTCATGCTGTGTACTCTAGCTTTATTTTCTATATTTTCTGTTGTATTGTATACCATAGATATAAGCATTAATTACCATAAAGAATCTAACAGTTGTCAATGAATGATTTATGCGTTATTGATTTTATCATTTTTATCTGAATTATCATTTCTCTTCCTGTTGTACTTCTTTGACATGCTGTTTAACGCATGGTAGTTACCAAGAAAATTTTGAATAATAAGAATCGATATAACAATATGACAATCGTTTATTTGAAGTTTCAACGAATATTATATATCCTTCGAGTACTTGGGACTTTTACTAATACGTGGCCATTATATCCAGATATTGGAAAAAATGAATATATTCTTCGTAATATTTACTATTATGTTGCTATTTTCATATTGATGGCAGTATGGATACCAATGGTAATTGGTGCATACAAGAATCGAAACGATGTCGGCGTATTAATGAAAAATATGTCTCATATAGCGGCTTTTACAGAAGCTATACTTAATTCAATTTTATGCAGAATTAAAAAAAAACAATTGCAGGTAAACACATTTATCATTAAGAAAGTATTTTTGATATAGAATTGTTACGTTTTGTAGACTCCATGATTTTTTTCTTTCAATGGAATTTGTTCATGATCGTGACTTTTGATGTCATTTATGAGAAACAAGTATATCAATTAAGTCATCAATTAAAAATTTAAAGAACTTTTTTTTCTTTACATATATAAGCTATAAATTTGAGTATCTAACGAATTCCATTCAACAAAACTCAAAAATTTTACACTCATTGAACACAGCGCCTTCGCGGTCACAGTATTAAGATGTTGAACTATTGTCTTAATATACCTTCAATAAAATTGAATTAATATTTCAGACATAAATTGAGAGCCGATGAAATTATCGGATTCACACAATCAATCTGAAACAAATAAATCCCCCCAAATTCTGCCAAATCTTAAAAAACTGTAATAATTTATTGCGAAAAAATATTGCCTCGGCCGGGAGTCGAACCCGGATCTCTTGCATTCCGTGCGAGCGTCCTGAGCCTTTAGACTACAATGAGTGTAGTATTTATATATTCGGTCATGTTTCAATCATATGTTTATAATACGCAGCCGAAATATGCGTAACTCACTATATATGTCGATTATTGCGAGGAGTGTTGCTAAGGTCTCGGTAGTCTAAAGGCTCAGGACGCTCGCACGGAATGCAAGAGATCCGGGTTCGACTCCCGGCCGAGGCAATATTTTTTCGCAATAAATTATTACAGTTTTTTAAGATTTGGCAGAATTTGGGGGGATTTATTTGTTTCAGATTGATTGTGTGAATCCGATAATTTCATCGGCTCTCAATTTATGTCTGAAATATTAATTCAATTTTATTGAAGGTATATTAAGACAATAGTTCAACATCTTAATACTGTGACCGCGAAGGCGCTGTGTTCAATGAGTGTAGTATTTATACGTTCGGTCATGTTTCATTTATATGTTCAAAAATTTTAATCAGGAAAGTGTCAAATATCACTTATGCGTGACTGGAAACAATAAATTGTGGAAAGTGGAAACTTGGAAATCTTTAAAATGAAAATCTGTTAAAATAAAAAATCATGGATGATTTCCTTTTCTAAGGAAAGAGAATAATAGCACATATAAAATATATATCGCGCAATAATATACAGTAAAGCTGTTACCCGAGATTGATAAAGATTTCTCTCTAATATAAGAAAACAGGCGCCAAATCGCGCCAAATCATAAAATTTGTAAGGTCACGTGTTAGGAGTGAATCAACTGCTTATGGATATCTAGCATCTCACTCATGATCGGCGACGATCACCCCGCATCCGATAACTCGAAAAAGCTAACGGCAATTACACAAATCGAAAATTCAACCTTTTTTTAATCGTGAAGTAAACAAAGTTATTTCTGGTAGATTTTGATGCACTGATTACAAATTTGACCGAAAATATCATATCATATCAAGTTTTTGAGATGTTCCAACCTAAACATACAAAAAATGAAACTTTAGTCCAAAGCCTTTGGAAACACTTTTAATGACCTAAAAAATCTAACAATTTTTTTTATCCTTGTCCAGCTGCCCTCCCTCCTCACCATGCCGATAAATAAAAAACGATAAATAAATAAAAATAGAAATAAAAAATGCATAGCTCAAAATGTGAAGCAATTTATGAGCTTCCAAATCCCGTAAAAAAAATTTTTGAACTCGTCCCGATTAGCAGAAATATTAATTTACAAGTGGGGGGGGGGGCTGAGTGGACGTCTACTCAGCCGCCCCACTCCTTAAAAAACAATAGAAAATCATTCATAGACTCAGAAATAGCAGCTTTTTGATGAACTCTTAAATCAGTGCTGTTTCGATTTTTAAGCTCTATCCTGAGAGAACTATTTCTAGAATGAGAAAATAAATTATTTTATGACTGGAGTTTATTTGTTAATTTAGCAGCTCGCGAAATACATACAAATTTTTGAGCTGTTCTTAGCAGGACAATCACCTCCTGTCAGTCTATTTTACGCTAGAAAGACCTATGTTAAATATAAGGTGTACTAAAAAGAAATCTATTATTTTTGCATTAAATTGAAGGCTTTATTTAGCATAGTTAGAATGATCCGATTTAGGTCAAATATGCACCATTTTGTTCAATAATTTGTTGCCATTTTGAAGGTAATTTCATTATGTCTCTTTCATAGAAACCCTCGTCCTTATTGGCAAAAAACTGGGACAGTCGATTTTCACAAGCTTCTCTTGAGGCGAATTTTTCACCAGCAAAATCATTCGCCATAGACAGGAACAGGTGGTAATCACTTGGTGCCAGGTCCGGACTATAAGGTGGATGCATAAGAACCTCCCAACCAAGCTCCCGGAGCTTCTGGCGAGTCACTATCGATGTGTGTGGCCTGGCGTTGTCTTGATGGAACACAATTCCTCTCCTATTGGCCAAAGCTGGCCGCTTCTGGGCGATTGCTTCTTTCAGACGGTCCAATTGTTGACAGTACAGGTCCGAATTAAGAGTTTGGCCGTAGGGGAGCAGCTCATAGTAGATGATTCCCTGCCAATCCCACCAAACACACAGCAAAACCTTCCTGATCGTCAATCCTGGCTTGGCCACCGTTTGCGCCGGCTCATCGCGATTCGACCACGACCGTTTTCGCTTGACGTTGTCGTAAGTGACCCACTTTTCATCACCAGTAACCATTCGCTTCAGAAATGGGTCGATTTTGTTGCGATTCAGCAGCGATTCGCAGATGGAAATTCGGTCCATGAGGTTTTTTTGCGTTAACTCGTGTGGCACCCATACATCGAGCTTCTTTTTGTATCCAGCCTTATTTAAATGATTCCAAACGGTTTTTTGTGCAATGTTTAGCTCCTGGGCAATCGAAACTGTGCTTACATGACGGTCGGACTCGACGATTTCCATTATTTTATCGACATTTTCGACAATTGACCTTCCAGAGCGTGGTGCATCTTTGACATCAAAATTACCGGAACGGAATCGACGAAACCAAAATTGCGCGATATTGACTGTTACAGTATCAGGACCATAAACACTATTCACATTTTCAGCCGCCTGGCTTGCGTTTTCGCCTTTATCGAAGAAAAACTGTAAAATATGGCGTATTTTCTCTTTGTTGGTGTCCATCTTTGACACGCGCTCAAACAATACTGACTCAAGCAATCACAAAACTGTCTGAGAAGTTTTTTTAGAACGAAATCTTATCTTTCTAACGCCATTTGGTGTAACCCGATCGCACTTATACAACGCGAGATACCGATTACTAAAGCCATCTATTGGAAAAATAATAGATTTCTTTTTATTACACCTTATAAAATCAAGAAATAAGTCATTTTTTTATGGGAAATTGTAAAAAATTTTCTTTATTAATAAAAAATTAAGGCTAATTGTTATACAATATACATATTGTATTATGATTTTTCTGTATCCTTTTTTTAATAAAAAAAATTTTTATTGTAGTAAAACAGTTTTAATGTGTGTTGTTATAATTTTTTGCTGATTAAACTTATGTCGTGTTAGTTATTTTCAGAAAGACAGGTTAAAATCACTAATTGTAAATCGCCTTTTAAGAAAAAATTTATATTTTTATTCAGAATAATATTGAACATTTAATAAAATATCTATAATTCTTCATATAGATTACATTATGGATGATTTTATTTCATTACTGTTTTATATGTTTCGAATTAAATAAAGTAATAACAATTATTCATAATTAAACCCCACGTACTTACGGTCAACCTATCAAATGCTTTTTTTTTTATTGGCGTTATTATATCCCATAAGAACAATAAAAATTATTTGCGCATGCATATCGTAATATACAATATAACGAAATTATAATTGATGATCAACATCTAATTCTACACGGAGAAAAATAATTAATAGACGGATATCTTACAAGACTAGTAAAAATATTCTGGCTATCGAATTTGTGATAAATTTTTACCGAATTTGTGATAAATTTTATTTGTCTAAAAGTAAAAATACTGGAGATTTAAGATAAACAGTACATTATAATTATACAATAGTAGAGGAAACCGGAGCACCATAATTCACAAAAATTCGAACAGTAAAAATACATTAAAATGTAAGATTTTTGGTTTCAACTTTTTTATATAATTAAGGGATAATATATATTTTAAGATTTATTGAGCATATATATATATATTTTTCATAAATATTGATTTGTATTTTGAATAAAAATTGAAAAAGAAATTTTTAGAAATGACTCATGATACCCCATGCATGGGTC